TTGGTGGAAGCCTCAAAAATTGGAATTTTTTTTTAGGATTTTATGGGATTTTTTGGGAAAATTTTGGGGTTGAGCAGGTCATGACCAAGATCAATAATCAATGGTCAAAGTCAACGAAATCCGTGGAATTCCATGGAAAAATTTTGGGGTTTTTTAAGGAATTTTGGGGTTGACCAGGTCATGGCCAAGGTCAATGGTCAATGTCAACGCAATCCTTGGAATTCCAAGGAAAAATTTGGGGATTTTTTGGGAAATTTTGGGGTCAAGAGATCCATGGCCAAGGTCAACGGTCAACGTCAATGCAATCCATGGAATTCCATGGAAAAATTTTGGGTTTTTTGGGGGGAAATTTTGGGGTCAACGGATCCATGGCCAAGATCAATAATCAACGGTCAACGCCAACACAATCCTTGGAATTCCATGGAAAAATTTGGGGATTTTTTGGGGAAATTTTGGGGTCTACATCCCCCTAACCCACGGATCTCCATGGACCTGCAGGTGCCGGCGCCGGGAGCGGCGCCGAGGACGATCCCACCCCACCCGACCCCCAAGAACCCCCGACGGCTCCACCCCCAACCCATCCCGACCCTCCAGCAGCCGGGAAGAGCCGGAAAACCGCGGGAACGTGCTCGGAGTGCGGCAAAACCCGGCGCTGCCGGCGCGCCGAGGGGACGGCGGCGGCGGAGAAACCGCACCGGTGCGGCGACTGCGGCAAAGGCTTCAGCCGCGGCTCCAATTTGGCGCAGCACCGGCGCATCCACACCGGGGAGAGGCCGCACCGGTGCGGCGACTGCGGCAAAGGCTTCATCCAACGCTCCGACCTGGAGCGGCACCGGCGCGTCCACACCGGCGAGCGGCCGTACCCGTGCGGCGACTGCGGCAAACGCTTCAGCGTCAGCTCCCACCTGGACCGGCACCGCCGCACTCACGCCGGAGGGCCGGGACCGCCGCGCGTTGGCAAAGCCAAGACGGCGCCGGCGGCGGAGGCGGCGCCGCATCGCTGCGGGGATTGCGGCAAAACCTTCGGGCAGCGGGCGGCGCTGGCGAAACACCGCAAGACGCACGGCGGCGAGCGGCCCCACCGCTGCGGCGACTGCGGCAAGAGCTTCAGCCGCGGCTCCAACCTCACCCAGCACCGGCGCATCCACACCGGCGAGCGGCCCTTCGCCTGCGGCGACTGCGGCAAAGGCTTCATCCAACGCTCCGACCTGGAGCGCCACCAGCGCGTCCACACCGGCGAGCGGCCGTACCAGTGCGGCGAGTGCGGCAAAAGCTTCAGCGTCAGCTCCCACCTGGACCGGCACCGCAAGATCCACGCGGCCGAGCGGGCGTCGTACCGGTGCCCCGAGCACCTGGCCGGTTTTTTGGCGGCGCACCGGCACGGGAGGTTCTTCCAGTGCGGGCAGTGCGGGCGGTGTTTCGGTCAAGGCGCGGCGTTGTTGAAGCACCAACGCGCTCACGGCGCGGCGGCGGCGGCGGCGCCGTCGGAGGGATGCGCCGAGTGCGGGGAGAAGCGCGGCCTGTGCCAGGATTGCGGGCGGGAAGCGGCGCCGGAGAAGCCGTACAAGTGCCAGGAATGCGGGAAAAGCTTCGGGCAACGCTCGGCGCTGGTGAAACACCGGCGCATCCACACCGGTGAGAAACCTTACAAATGCCCCGAGTGCTCCAAAGGTTTCATCCAAAAATCCGACCTCACCATCCACCGCCGCATGCACACCGGCGAGAAACCCTACAAGTGCCACGAGTGCGGCAAACGCTTCAGCGTCTCCTCCAACCTCATCAAGCACCAGCGCATCCACCGCGGCGACAAACCCTTCCAGTGCGCCGAGTGCGGCAAGAGCTTCATCCAGAAATCCGAGCTCACCATCCACCGGCGCGTGCACACCGGCGAGAAGCCCTACGAGTGCCGCGACTGCGGCAAACGCTTCAGCCGCAGCTCCCACCTCAACCGGCACCGGCGCACCCACGCCGCCGCCGCCAGAACCGACGAGGCCGGCGCCGCTTCCGGCGCCGTCGGTTCCGGCGTCGTCGCCGTCGTCGGTTCCGGCGTCGTCGCCGCGTCCTCGTCGCCGTCGGTTCCGGCGCCGGCGGCTTTGGCGTTCCCGGCGTTCCCGGGTTCCTCGGCGGTGCCGGCGCCGTTGGAGCTGCCGTGGGCGTTGGCGTTGCCGGG